TGAGAATCTGCTTAGAGATCTCAGAGAAATTTCATTTGCTGTTTCCTCCGTATTAATAACCATAAATGCAATACCTCCAGATACACTATTGGCGCAGTGAGTATATAATTTATTGCTGTTTCCGAATAAGTGTAGTGGTCTGGAGGGAAACACACGAGAACCCATAACCTTCTTAAATAAAGCAGTTACATAAAAACTGTTGGTGGGATTTTCCAATTCATAGAGGCTTATGTGTTTAAAGATAGCATCGAATCCTGTGCTAGCAGCATCACCCATCATTTGTGCCCAACGCATTGCATCAGCCACATCGTCAACGACGATGATGTTGCTTTTTTGTTTTGATTTCGCTTTATATGGCAAAGTTAACCAAATTGGTAGATTACTGCTGAGTAAAACCTTCAGAGCTGGATCATTTTCATTAATGAAATTTTTGCCTATATTGCTTGATGTAAGAGCAGTTGATCTATTGCAGAAAATTTGTTAAATAAATTATTTTATATTATAATTAATGGATACATACTCAGTCCAGCCAAGTGCAGAGTTTAAATCCTGAGATATTTCGATATACTGTCGTGTTTCATCAGCAGTACTACCAGAGGAAATATCAGCACCCATTATTTGCCAATCGTCGACATAAGATTTAAATGATTCCACCATCAGATTAAACGTTTTTAATTCAGCAACGTAATCTTCTGCACGGGAAACGCCAAAATCTAAACAAAAATGTGTTTTTTTAAAAAATAAAATTTATACGATATTACAAGCAATATCATGAAATTTATTATATTATAAATATTATTATATTATTATAACATACCTGTTCCTAACTGCCAAATACAATCTGATATGCCAACCATATAGGAAGTATTTAGAATTTTTAAGGCATGCATAGGTTCCCAATCGCCTGGTGTGTATGGGACCGGAATAACCATAGTCCAGTTCACAGCTCTAAGTTTGCAAAAAATTAAATTTATTTTAAAATAATTCATAACATTTGGGCTTTTTTATTAAAAAAGTTAGAACATTGCATTCTTTAACTATTATTTAATATACCTGGTCCATCGATTAAAACCTTTCCATATAACTTTAGTAGGATTTCTCAATTTAGTTTCAGCATTTGCGGCAAAAAAGTAATCACCAATAAATTTTATATACGAATCACCTAATGTAGTTGCCATTTGAGTCATTGTTTTTCTATATAAAATTAAATGTTCGTTACATATATACATATCTTTTCTAATATAAAATAAAATCTTGTGCATTTAATTGTTTGTAATGTGTTATACATTTTTTTTATTAACTTCCTTATAAGCCACCCACCAGAATCCTACCTTTTTGGTCCATCTAGAGCACTATACAAGTCCTCTGGTCGTACCGAGAAACTTATAAACTTTTCACTGACGTCATTAAAAGGTCGATTTACGTTTACCTGCACCAAAACTTCACAAGCACAGTACTTAAGAAACACTACCGTACACGTTAATAAAATTGCCTTAAAAAAGGACATTTTTTCCACTTTTACTGGTTCGAGTTTTGGAATCCGAGTCGCTTTTCTTATGATTAATGAACCGTACACGACTTAAGCGCTTTGGAAACTGTTCTAGTGCTGCTTCTCGACCGCCATAAATAATCTTGAGATTCGCTCCATTTTGCTTACTCCACATTTGTAATTATGTTGTAAGCGCGGAAGCTTCATGGTTCTGTGTACTTGACTAACTAAAAGAATTTTGCTGTAATTAGCAAATTTTTATTTACTTTAATGAAGTTCATTGCAATAATTATTTTTTTAAAATTTTTATTTCATAACTTCATGTACTTTATTAATTACAACAGCAGAGTGTTAAATCTGGTACAACATTTTTTTATACTTAATCATTTGAATTAAACAAATTAATTCAACAACCATATTAGCACGTATATATAAATATAAGAACACACCTCACACACTATTGAAAGGCTACAACCAAATCTTTGTCTCTACTAAGCGTACGATCCATCTTTAAGAGAAATAAATTATAGAAATTCAAGGCTCTCAAAACAGAGAGTTTTTAGAAAGGACTGCTTGACTTACATTTCATACAAACAGTTACTTATTACACCCCTCGTAGTCTATGGTCGCCTCTGACGTGTGGCTCTGGAAAATAGACACCACAGCACTATATGTACTTCTTAGACTAGTTTGCTGTATCTTACTAAGTACTTAAAACTATTGTATCTTGTACATATACAAGTACTTCTGGAATCGTTTTTTATTTTATTCATTAACAATTCTCCACATATTTGATCACATTGAGCTTTATTTCGGCGCTTATACAAATAGTAGTTTAATTGAATCCTTTACAATTATATCGCGATCAATAATTAACATTCAGTAACATCGTGAATTAAAGAAACCAACACACATGCTGTAGAATCATACTAATTAAATTCACTTTGATTTACTAGCCCAATTGCTACAATTCAGAATAAACATAAAGGAATACCGGGCTCAAATAAATGTTCATCTATTAATGCATAACTTTATTGAAAATATAACATTTCAAAATATACGTTACAACTCTCAATCATCAAAATTAGATTCTATAAGAATTTTAAAACTAAATGGTTGGAAAGCATATCCTTCACCAGAATAAAACTTGCTCATAAACTCGACCCTATAAAAGAAATTAAATATGTCATATCATCACATTACTTATAAGTCCCAAGTTACGAATTACTTACCAATGCAAACGCAGTGTATGTAAAAATGCTGACAAACCTTCCATCATGATCATAATAGCAATAGTTAAAAGTGTCCAAAAACCGAAGAGGAAGAAAACAGCTACTATCCCTATATAGCCACTATTCATAGTCAAGCCCAAACGTAACACCATATTCCATAATACTTGTGATAACTCTATAAAGTATACAGTTTGAAAGTCACTATAATTCAGCATACATCACATTTCATACCTGCATGAGCTAACGATAAAGCCCATAGACGTAAATAAGAAGCAGTATGGGAAATCGTACTTAGCACATATTCAATTGTGTGTATGGCTTGGTGTATGAATATTTCGGACATTGGTTCTTCTTCAGGCTCACCATGAGCGACAGCAGCTTTACTTTCACCTGGTTTATCTTCATCAATCGATTCCACATCATAACTAGTCTGTTCAAATAAAGATATATATATTAATTATCGTTTAAAAATATTTCTTTATTTAATCGATAGTTACAGTTTTGTTGTTTCTACGTGTGAACATTATCCAAAACGGTTTTCCAAGCAATATCCATGGTATACAAACAACTGCAACAATCACAAAAATCTTTTCCAGTTGTGCTTGTCCACTAAACATATAAGCATCACATCCGGGTAGCGCAGTCATCTCCCCAAACAACATCATCTTTATGAATGTGATCAACACCGAAGGTGCACATGCAGGGGAATTAGATTGAATATCTGATGTGGCTGAGTATTTCACCCATTTGAAGAACATCATGAACACCATATAACCAAAGAGTAACAATAAAAATAGAGCTTGTGGTAAGAATTCCAGAAAGATGCTTGAGTATCGTTTGAAGTATATAAAGTTCTCCACAGAAAGACAAAGTCCGAAAATCATATGCAAAACACCGAATATAACAGATAATTTCATTTTATAACTGTTAGTGAAAATAATTTGATTGTCATCTGCCAATTGCCAAATCGGATCCAAGCCCCAAGGGTAAACACCCACAGTAGCATATTCCGGATTTAACTGAAGTGTGGGGTTGGTGAGTACGGTGGTTGTATTATAACGGATACGCCACTTCGAACCAAACACGTTAAGTGATTTCGAAAATATATCATTGTAAGTAAATCCAGTATAACAAGCAAATAGACCCATCAACATTATAATATAACGACCACTGAACATAATATTTAAAATTTCTCCCCTGCGTTGTCTACCCAGTTTCTTTTCATAGATTACCATTGACAAACCGAATAAGAACATACAGAATCCGTGTCCCAAATCGCCGAACATTACAGCGAACAAGAATGGGAATGTTATGCATGTATACAAAGCGGGATTGACTTCGCGATATGAAGACAGTCCATAAGAATCAATTAAATTCTGAAAACCATTAGTAAACTTATTAGTACGTATATATGATGGTGGTGCTTCATGTGAATCCAGAACATTTAGGAATGAAGGCACTGTACTGCCTACAGCTGAAGACCCATCTAAAAGACACTGTTGTACGGTGGGCATATCTTTAGTTGGTACCCAACCTTCCCCGATTAAACACTTTTCTGTCACATCAATGTTAAAACAATTTAGTGTATGGTAGATGGCTTTCATTTTCTTTACCATAACAGTCCAAGTGTTTATGTGTTTAGCAGCAGTATTGAGTACACGACTACGATGATCTTCAGATTGCTGTATCACAATTTTAATATCATCAATACGTGTGCGCACTCCTTTTAACATACCAATGCGATCTTCATGTGAACTTGGGCAAGGATACATCGCAGCATGAAAACCGGCGCAAACCTTTTTTACTCGTTGTTTCAAGTGCTCACCTTGAAAGAATGCGACAAAAACGGTTTTATATAGAACATTACCAGTAATCGGATCCTTCAGCTGTTCATGCATATCGGCTTGTTTTAAAAAAACATTTCCGCGTGACATACGCCATAACATGCGTTCAAATGCAAACACACGTTCCCGATTAATAACTCCAGCAACAAAAGCTAAATTAGCTCCATCGGTATTTGTCTTGATGTTACTACGATTAATATCCAAATCAATATATTCCTGTTCCGAAAAGAAACCCTCTGTTTTCTCGAGTACCGTTCGCATTTCGATGAGCTCCAAATGGTTTGTTTTTATTTTCAGTTCATTTGCTGCGAGTTCACGTACTTCAACTTCGGTTTTTTCCAAATTGGCTTCTAAATCGATTATTTCTCTAGGATTCGGTGCATCTGGTAATTCATCGAAATACAATTCTGGTATTTTGATTTCATCTTTGGTTATTTCAGCTTCTATATAACGCATTTGCCTCTCCATTTCATCACAACGACGTACCTCATTTACGAATTTTCGTTGGAAAGCAGTTACGCCTTCATTGAGCTGCGAATCACAAATTGAGTTTCATTTTTAATTGATTGATAATTGTATATTAAATATAATAGTAAGGAACTTACATCTCTAAATTGTACACAACCTTTCTCACCTAATGCTGCTACTGAAGCATACGCCGCTTCCGGTTGTATAAATAATTGACATAATGTCATCTTTTCCGTACGGAACATGTCACCCATTTTGAGGCCGTTTAATTATCTGAACATATAAAAACGCAGTTCAATACGTGTAATAATTTTAGTATCTTAATATATGATTAGAGCCTAGTATAGCCTAGTATATGTAGGACTTATTTTTATACTTGTTGTTTATATATATATATAGTGATATCTCAGATATCCAAGAATTTTAGTTGAAATAGTTGAATTGCGTTCCGCAAAATAATTTAAGGAAGATAATCATTTCAGTATAGTATAAACTTAAATTTTAAATCCTTTTTAAATTAAGAATTATATTTTCAACTCTTTTAACTTCTCACTAAAATAGGTGACAGAGAATGGCAAGCAAAATTTTGATTGGATTACCTCGATTTTTGGGGTCATCAATATTGAGGCATCTATACACGAAGAAGGAATAGATTAATAGATGTCTGAATTAAACAGTCTGCTATAAGTAAGCCACATTAACAAATATAATACCTGTAATACCTTGAAATGCAGGGTAAAGCATGTAAAGCATGTCGGCTACTCACTGTGTAAAAAGAGACTGTTAAGCCAGGGTCAGAGCTCACTGTGAGCTGGAGAGCAAAAATTGTTGATGAGATGATGAATGCAAGTTAAAAAATCTATAGTTTAAATTTACATAAGAATCAGTTAACTTCATATAACTTGTATAATAACCACCAAAGTATACAGGATTATAGAACGGTGTATTGAATACAGCTATAAATAGATTAAGTGGAAAGAATTTAAAAAAAACTTATACAGATCTACGTAATTAAAGAGTTTAGATTAAAATTAGGTAAAATAAACATAATTGATAACGAATTGATAAATTTATATTACGAATATATTAACGTAATTCTATGTACTTTTATTGTACATAGGTAATCAACAAATTTAATTCATATATATTATTCTATTCTATTTTTTTACTCAGAATATCTAATAGTAAGTATATTCCTGTTTTTTCAAGAAGCATTACTATTAAGAACAATTTTCAGACTAAATATCGTATTTCTGTATGAATTATTCATGTGATATAATTGACTTAATAGAAATTGTAGCAATCATCAAAGTTCACTAGTTTCTCAATGAGAAATTGATATCTGACAAATTACTTAACCGTTCTGTCAGTACCTCAATACCTCAAGAATGTTCACGTGCGGGTCTTAAAAATCGATTAAAAACCAATTACAATTATTTTTGTTTATTTTCCTATTCACTTTATCAATTTAAAGTTGAGTAATTTAAAATGAAATAAAATTTTCTGTCTTTAAGTTTAAAGAATATTCGCATTTGTTGGTAAGAAGCTATTAGTAATTGCAATAAAGACAGTGTAGCGACATTAAGGAATATGTCAGGGGCTGTAGTACTCATATGTGAAATAGCAACAAATCAATAAAATAAGAACTTATACGTCAAAAAATTTATCTGAGATAAGAATATATTCAATAATATTATAAAGTGCTACAAGTAATAAATAGTAAGTAGAAATTAATAGGGTACTGCCTCGTAACTTAGTAAGCCACTGCAGTTACTGTTCTAACTTAGTGAACCACTGCAGTGACAGTAGATCTATTGTGTTAATGATCTACAAATAAATTAACTAATATTGAGTTTATTGTTGAAAGTTTTTAAATAAACATTTAAACGAATCTTAAACGAATTTTGCTTTTCCGAATTACCGCATCCATATTTGCGATAATTGCGTACTATAAGTGTTTATACTACAGCAATTCAATTAGCGAGCATGGGAACAAAACCTTATAAAGTAATAATAATGAATCTTATAAAATCTGAATATTATGACTTTATTTTAATTAAATTAAAAATGAATTTTTCATGATTTTAATTATATGGCCATACATATAGGCCCAATACCTTCACAATCGTTATACTGTGCATAAGAAGAATGAACATAATCTCATAACCTTCTTTTCATTATAAAATATAACTTCAAATGCACTATTAGAAATATGGAATGGATCGACGTTTCATATACCCTCCTGACTACGCCCATGAAATGTTTATTTTATTTACAGACTTTCAATTATAAAATTTAAGCAATGATCATTTATTTATTGTTGACATGCAGAAATAAAACAAAATTATAACATTTTATAAATTTTAAAAAAATAAATTTATTCATTCACATCAATCACAAATTTTGATTTTATAGACTAAAGTTCTCAGTTCCATATAATGACAAAAATCTAATCAGAGTAAGCCACCCATTCAACCTAGTTCGCTATAGGGCCTACCAAAATTATTTAAAGTTCTTTTTTATTTTTTTCTTTTAATATAAAATATTTTATATAATTTATTAAATATTTATTTATATTTTCACTTGACTTGTTTATATTTATATTTTTTTTATATATAACATTCTATAGGCTCATCACTTTTTGTTCATAGCAAATACATTATATATTATTATTTTTGTTGTTTTTATTATTGAAATAAAATGCATATATTAATTGTAATTTTATAATCGGCTTATTTTAATACCAAATTTGATATTATTATTTTTTATAAAAATTGATGCACTTGTAATAAAAATAATAATAAATAATAAATAATTAATTAAAAATAAAATTATTTTCACTTATTAGCTTTTTAGTTTGATTGAAGTTTCTTATATTTTTTTATATAATATATTGAATTAATATTTTAATCTTTATTTTTTTATTGCCATTTCACACTCACATCCTTGCTTTGGTATATATATTAATGTTCTTCAGAAGTTATTCAAAATTTTATATTTAAAAAATAAAAATTTATTTTGCACAAAAATCACACTTGTCCACCTTTAGGGAGTTTTCAACTCAGAAAAAACCACATTGTCACCGACTTTTATACTCTGAAGCATTAAATCAAAATTTTGATTGATTATTCCATTTCAATAAATGTTCTTTAACAAAAAAAAAAGAATATGTGAGTATAAGAACTTTTCTATTATTTAATAATTTTATCAATATTTTACACATTATTTTTCCAAGAGAACAAATACTCTTTATACTTCTCTTCTGACAGCTATCAGCTTTTTACCAATTTTATTTATTTTTTTGATCAATTTAATTTAAACATTTTTTAATGTAATTAATAACAAATTTAATTTAATTAATTGCATATGCTCAAAAAATTTTATAATATTTGTTAAAATATTTAATCATCATTGGATTCTATGAGAATTTTGAAACTAAATGGTTGGAAAGCATATCCTTCACCAGAATAAAATTTGCTCATGAACTCGACCCTATAAACGAAATTTAATATGTCATATCAGTACATTACTTATTACTCCCAAGTTACCAATCACTTACCAATGTAAACGCAATGTATGTAAAAATGCTGACAAACCTTCCATCATAATCATAATAGCAACAGTTAAAACTGTCCAGAAACCAAAAAGCAGGAAAACAGCCACAATTCCTATATAACCAGTACACTTTGTCAAACCCATACGCAACACCATATTCCATAACACTTGTGATAACTCTATAAAGTATACAGTTTGAATGTCACCATAATACTTCATACATCACATTTCTTACCTGCATGAGCTAACGATAAAGCCCATAGACGTAAATAAGAAGCAGTATGGGAAATTGTACTTAGCACATATTCAATTGTGTGTATGGCTTGGTGTATGAATATTTCGGACATTGGTTCTTCTTCAGGCTCACCATGAGCGACAGCAGCTTTACTTTCACTTGGTTTATCTTCATCAATCGATTCCACATCATAACTAGTCTGTTCAAATAAAGATATATATTTTTAGTTATTGTTTAAAAATATTTATTTATTTAATCGATAGTTACAGTTTTGTTGTTTTTACGTGTGAACATTATCCAAAACGGTTTTCCAAGCAATATCCATGGTATACAAACAACTGCAACAATCACAAAAATCTTTTCCAGTTGTGCTTGTCCACTAAACATATAAGCATCACATCCGGGTAGCGCAGTCATCTCCCCAAACAACATCATCTTTATGAATGTAATCAACACCGAAGGTGCACATGCAGGGGAATTAGATTGAATATCTGATGTGGCTGAGTATTTCACCCATTTGAAGAACATCATGAATACCATATAACCAAAGAGTAACAATAAAAATAGAGCTTGTGGTAAGAATTCCAGAAAGATGCTTGAGTATCGCTTGAAGTATATAAAGTTCTCCACAGAAAGACAAAGTCCGAAAATCATATGCAAAACACCAAATATAACAGATAATTTCATTTTATAACTGTTAGTGAAAATAATCTGATTGTCATCTGCCAATTGCCAAATCGGATCCAAGCCCCAAGGGTAAACACCCACAGTAGCATATTCCGGATTTAACTGAAGTGTGGGGTTGGTGAGTACGGTGGTTGTATTATAACGTATACGCCACTTCGAACCAAACACGTTAAGTGATTTCGAAAATATATCATTGTAAGTAAATCCAGTATAACAAGCAAATAGACCCATCAACATTATAATATATCGACCACTGAACATAATATTTAATATCTCTCCCCTGCGTTGTCTACCCAGTTTCTTTTCATAGATTACCATTGACAAACCGAATAAAAACATACAGAATCCGTGTCCCAAATCGCCGAACATTACAGCGAACAAGAATGGAAACGTAATGCATGTATACAAGGCGGGATTGACTTCGCGATATGAAGACAGTCCATAAGAATCAATTAAATTCTGAAAACCATTAGTAAACTTATTAGTACGTATATATGATGGTGGTGCTTCATGTGAATCCAGAACATTTAGGAATGAAGGCACTGTACTGCCTACAGCTGAAGACCCATCTAAAAGACACTGTTGTACGGTGGGCATATCTTTAGTTGGTACCCAACCTTCCCCGATTAAACACTTTTCTGTCACATCAATATTAAAACAATTTAGTGTATGGTAGATGGCTTTCATTTTCTTTACCATAACAGTCCAAGTGTTTATGTGTTTAGCAGCAGTATTAAGTACACGACTACGATGATCTTCAGATTGCTGTATCACAATTTTAATATCATCAATACGTGTGCGCACTCCTTTTAACATACCAATGCGATCTTCATGTGAACTTGGGCAAGGATACATGGCAGCATGAAAACCGGCGCAAACCTTTTTTACTCGTTGTTTCAAGTGCTCACCTTGAAAGAATGCGACAAAAACGGTTTTATATAGGACATTACCAGTAATCGGATCCTTCAGCTGTTCGTGCATATCGGCTTGTTTTAAAAAAACATTTCCTCGTGACATGCGCCATAACATGCGTTCAAATGCAAACACACGTTCCCGATTAATAACTCCAGCAACAAAAGCTAAATTAGCTCCATCGGTATTTGTCTTGATGTTACTACGGTTAATATCCAAATCAATAACTTCCTGTTCCGAAAAGAAACCCTCTGTATTCTCGAGTACCGTTCGCATTTCGATGAGCTCCAAATGGTTTGTTTTTATTTTCAGTTCATTTGCTGCGAGTTCACGTACATCCACTTCGGTTTTTTCCAAATTGGCTTCTAAATCGATTATTTCTCTAGGATTCGGTGCATCTGGTAGTTCATCGAAATACAATTCTGGTATTTTGATTTCATCTTTGGTTATTTCAGCTTCTATATAACGCATTTGTCTCTCCATTTCATCACAACGGCGTACCTCATTTACGAATTTTCGTTGGAAAGCAGTTACGCCTTCATTGAGCTGCGAATCAAAATTGAGTTTGATGATTTTAGATTCAACATAATTGAAGTGGACTTACATCTCTAAATTGAACACATCCTTTCTCACCTAATACTGCTGCTGTAGCATATGCCGCTTCCGGTTGTATGAATAATTGACATAATGTCATCTTTTCCGTACGGAACATGTCACCCATTTTGAGACTATGTAATTATATGATATGTAAAAACAAAGCTCAGTACTTATGAAAATTTTAATAGGCTTAAGTAACATTGAATTTTTCAGTTTTACACCACTTCTAATAAATAGGGCATATAAGCAATATATTTATATGCTATACAGATATATGTAGGTATGTATACATATATAATTCGTTTTCACCCTCCTTACTTTTATAGCTAGTATTTCCAACTACTAATCATAACCATAATTGTAATCACAATTCTAATTAAAGAAACTAATCCTTGTTTAACAAAACTAATATATATTAAAACAAGTTGAGACAATGTTGAGGAAAGACATGTAATAGGTTATATCTGATTATGAAAACAACAAAAACAACAAAATTAAATATTTATTCTTAAACATTTATTTTCGCTATGTTCTCATACTTTCTGAACGAATTGCACGTTGTTCTGGTGTTTCAATCTGTGTCTATTTTCAATCTCTTTCAATTTTAACACTGGCTGCTCATTTTCAATGAGCAAATGGATATACGATAGTATCCACTTCAGAAATGTTCACATGTCAGTTTTAAAAATCAATCAAAAACCAATTATGTTATCTATTTATTTTCTTTACACCTATCAATTGTTAATTGTGTAATTCAAGTTATTAATTATTATCTATTATCTATTAAATTTCTGCAATGCTAGCACGGAATACTGTACAGAACAATGAAAATATGATATGAATTTATTATATATCAAAATTGCATTTCTGACTTAATTATTGCGATGAACTAAAGTATAATAAGTATAAGGTTTCGATTTTTTAAACACTTTTTGAAAAATATATTAAGTTTAAGGATAATTTTACTATTAGTGAATGTTCAGTACTAATCATTTTATATAAATGATTCGATCTTGGTGCAATATTTTTACACTTGATATTATTGGAACTACGTTCCATAATTGCACTTAGTAAAGCAATAGTAATATAACTTTGCTGTGTGTTAAGATATTATCTATTAATTTTTTACTCACACTAATAATTAGAATTAGAGCTAAATAATTTAAAATTTCTTTGAAAGTCCACAGTTTTTAATTTTGGATCAATCACAAAATCTGATTATTAACAGAACATAATCTGAATATCTTCATACTACAGCTGCAATGTATGAATTTTGTAATTAAATTGGAAATATGTTTTCTTTAAATTTATCTTTTCTATTCACGAAAATATGTAAGAGATAAAACAGATATAAATAAAAACATAGAATTTAAAAAATATAGAATTTGGATCATTTTAAAACATTTATGAATATTGAAACTGTGTTACAAGATTAATGAATATTTCTATTTTTTGACTTGCATAACGGAGTAGGAAACGGAGTAGTACCCAAAAATTTAGTTAGATTTTTAAATATCATATATGTACTGAGATACGTTTATCATAAACAAATTAATATTCAATATTTAAAAAAAAATCTTCTTTTCTACATTATTATTTTATTTTTGAAATGTATATTTGTAAGCTTTATATGGTGTAATTGATTTTTTGTTTATAATTAATTTATTAAATTTATTTTATTTTTTGTTTATTTTTTATTTATTTTTACTTTATATAAGTATATTTTATAATTTTTATTAAAGTTTATCCATGAAGAGTTTATTTAATTAATAAATTTATTATTTTCTATATATTTCAAAATTTATATAAATATATATATAAAAAATATAAAAATATATATGTATCAAAAAATTATACATAAATATAATTTTTATGAATTATAAATTAAATATATTTATCAAGCATAACATTTTTTTATTGTTACTTATATTTTTATTCAATATTTATTTATTTTTATATTTTATTTTACATTATTTTAGTCAATATTTTATTTATTTTATATAGTTTGAATATGTTTTTTATTAAAGAAAAGAATTTGATAGAATTCCCCTCATATTCACATATTCATAGTTCTGTTCTTCAGCATTTATAAAATATTTTAAAGTTTATAATAAAATAAAAATTTATTTTCCACAAAAACACACTTATTCACCTTTAGAAAGTTTTTGACTCAGTACACGACATGTCCACAACGTCTTTTATACTCTAATGCATTCAATCAAAATTTTGATTGAAAATTCAATTCAATAAATGCAATTCGTTGAAGCCACAGAATATATAAGAGAATATCTACAATATTTAAAACTGTTTGTTAGTTATCTAAACACAAAAATAATATATTCGACGACGCATATGAACATATACCGCCGACTGTCTATTGTCCACGCGTTCAAATAAAGATAGTGGATAACGAACTAAAAAAACAACAAATATAATGTAAATAGTTTCTCCCTTGATTGAATATATCATATTTATATTTATATATTTATTTAACTCTCTAATTTTAAATATTTTACACTAAGCTCTCTACATAAATTGTTATGTTATTTTCTATATGTTTGTCCCAAAGTCAAATGGCTATGTTATTAACATGTTACTGTTAAGTGCACTCAAGCAAAAACATGGAAATATTTCTATGTTTTGAACTCAAGTATAGAACTGTAAAGTTTACATACAGCAATTTCAAGGGGTCATATATGATAAACTTAGGCATAGTAATTAGTAAAACCATTTAACTGATTTAAATTTTTATATGTATGATATATATATAAACCCTAGAACAGTTGCAGTACATAAACTGAATAAATTCATTTTATGCTTAGAATAGTTTTATTACTCTTTCAAGTCCGATAGCACTTCCGTTCTTAAATAAAGCTCTTTTGTTGAACTTCTTTGTGAATGGCAAAACACCGATTGAAATTGTGTTTTACACTTGGTATTGAGGGAGGTGCTTTGTAATGGACCCAATCGCCTATGTTTATTGCAAGCTATATCAATCTTATCAATTAATTGCAGATTAAATTAAAAATGTAGGAAAAGTAAAGTGAGATAAACTGTTGCTTTTATTCAAACAGAACATATTCATTCACTGTGAATCATGGACCAAATCGCCCATGTATATTGCAAGCTATAATTCTTATCAATTTTTTGCAAATTAAATTAAAAATGATCATGTGCCGACCACATAAACAGCCTTCGAATAATAGTCGAACAGTCTAGCGAATGGCGATCTCCCCTATACTTGCTGTTTATCGACTTTAAACGTGCATTCGATACACTTCTCCATACCACCATCTGGTATGCATTAGAGTGTAAAGGTATACCGAGTAAATTAATAAATTTAGTAAAAGGCTTGTACTCTGACGCGCACTGCTCAGTACTTCACGAAGGGCGTCTCAGCGGGCAAATCCAAATTAAGTCTGGCGTCCGACAAGGTTACATTCTTTCACCTATACTATTTAATATAGTCTTAGATGTGGTTATGTCGGAAGCTATGAGCACAAATCATGGCATATCATTCGGCCTTCATAACAAAGTTACTGACCTCGATTACGCTGATGACATCTGTTTACTAACGCATAACTTTTCCCAGATGCAAATATCGTTAAACAACATCGCAAAGCGTGCATTGGCAGCTGGCCTGTCAATCAATATCAACAAAACCAAGTCTATGCGTCTCAATTCAAACTGCTTAACGAAGTTTCAACTAGATGGCTCCTACATCGAAGATGTACAAAGTTTCTGCTATCTGGGAAGCTACATTTCGAACAACGGCGGCAGTCGGCAAGACATACAGTACAGGCTATCGAAAGCGAAACAAGCGTTTGGAACCCTTAACAAAATCTGGCGTTCATCCAACATCACACAACGCACTAAGATACACCTGTACAATGCAAACGTAAAATCAACTTTACTATATGGTAGTGAGAGTTGGAACCTAACGGCAAGAGACGCACAACAGCTACAAGCCTTTGTCAATCGTTGTCTACGACGCATCCTTCATGTATTCTGGCCAGCAACCATAACCAACAATGAGCTCGGGTTTAGAACGAATCAGCCTCTTATAACTGATGAAATAATGATGCGCAAATACAAATGGCTTGGCCACACGTTAAGAAAACCCGCTGATGATATCGCAAGAAATGTCTTAGATTTCAACCCTCAAGGCAGTAGAAGACCAGGGCGTCCGCGCAACACTTGGAAACGACAAACTGAAGCCGAATTAAGAAATGCTGGAAAGAGCTGGAGAGAAACAAAACGTCTTGCATTAGATAGAGTTCAATGGAAACTATTTGTTACGGCCCTCTGTTCCACCTAG